ATATATTTATATTGTATTGATATTTCGATATTCATGTAGCTTAGGACCGTCTGCAGCACATAAACCTCTACTGACCTTGAATCAAATCTTCTTTAATATCATTATCATCGCTTCTCGTACTTGACATCATATCAACAGAACCTGTTTTCAATTTGACAGTAGGTATTGATTCCTCATTTCAACCGTTTGCTCTAGTTGGTTTCAATCTTCATAACCTATCGCGTTGTTGTGTTCAACCACGATGTCTAATTTTGTGTCGTCGCATTTCTTCAGAATTGGTACTGTCTGTAGCAGTCCTCTTACTCAAAGTAGGCGGGGATTCTAGCTTTCCTCCCGACTTATTAACGATAGTGCTGCGTAATTGTCGTTTCATATTCTTGATGTTATAACGAGCTAAGACTACATCCAAATTGGACGCTGTATCTCCTTTACTATATACCTTATTCCCTGTCGCGCCCGTTCCCCTTTACTTCAATAGCTCTCTCGAGAGAGAGAGGGGGAGAGAGGCGACATAGACATTGTATGGTGCAATCGCACTTACATCACCCTCAGAAATGCTTCTACTTCTACAGGCTATGGAATGCTCAATGATCATCCGATCCAGGAGTTAGATAGCGGAATACTGTCAGACATGGTTGTTTTATTTAGACCAATTCCGTTCCGGCCTAATTTCCGGAATAGTTTCAAAAGACTAGGCTCGTGACCTGTGATTGGTCGAGAGGTCATGGCTCAGCTTCCATTATGAGTCTATCGCGTTTATAGAAGCTCGACCATTATCTCCAATAAATATTTGCGATCACCTTTCTTGATAAAATATATTACTCCTGCATCCATTAAAAGTACGAAATGTACCCCATCTCTTTCCTCCTCTATATATGCATCAAAACTATCCATCACGAGGCAAATCGGTTCTTTTGTTCGCTTTCGTACGTATTTGAGGAATACTTCAGTGAACCACCACTCTTGAATTGTAGAATCATTCCATGAGTTTTTTTGGTCTACGTATGGAAATGGTGGGTACATTCCTTTTAAACATCTGGGATATATATATGCACCTATGACCGCTAAGGGGACTTTATTACTTTTCAAAGCATTTGTCCATACGATCAGTGTCACTCTATCCTTTGCACTGCTTTACAGCTGATCAAAATTTGAAACTAAAGGGGGGGAAATATAGCCATGTCTAAAATTTTCCGGACTAGTATTTAGGTCGATTAGTTAACCAGGTCTGACTGTGTGCTCGTATTAATGACTTGAACTTGACATTTGAAAATCAACGGGCCACATTTTGGATTTTGTGTATTTCAAAAAAAAAATAGCTGACCCAAAAATTGAAAGAATTGGCCGTCGTTCAAAAACACCGTATATTGCCCATTGCAAGCCGACTGTAGGCTTGTAGATAGTGTCACACACCCACATGACTTTTGTGATGACAATGTTCAATTTATAGAAAAGTCAGGAAAACAATTCTCTTACATTTCTGCGTTGTAAACATTATATAATATGTCCCACCCAGACTCAGCCCCAACTTCACTGGTCCTCACTCTCTCACCCTACTTGCTACCGTGTTAGTGTCGTCGGATGTAATTTGTTCCTCATGAAAAACTTCACTCTTATTCTCATTCTCGCTTGGTTTTATGTTTTCACTAGGTGTGTTCTCTTCATGCTGTGTCTTTGTGGTGAATCTATTGCCTTTATCACGTATATTTTGATGGGTGCTTCTATGTGTACTGATGTCGAGAAGTTTCACTCGTTTAGCTGGTGGTTTCGGCACCACTATATGTAAATTCAACACATGTTAATGTGCAGCAAGTGTGTGGTTTAGATTAGTGTTATTTTGTTTTTGTTTTTGTGTTTGTTTGTGTGAGATTTGTGAGTGTTAGGAAATTTCTAATGACCCATGTCCAGATTGTTTCATTTCAGTTTTGGATCCCTCTCCTGAAGCCAACCAGGGCTGCGAAACCCATTTTGGAATTTATTTTTTTTCATTATCGAAAAGTGTGATTGAAAAAAAGTCCTGTGGGTGAAATACGTGCGACGGGCGAGTGCAACATAGACTATAGAGTCATCGACCCTTAGGGCCATAGTCCGTATGGTAGAGGACACGCAGTAGAGAGGGCTACCATAGGGCAGCCTGGCTGGGTCAGTGCGGTTTGGCCGGTTGGGTTTTGAATCCCGTGTTAATATAGACAGCCAATGAAAGCACTGTATGTTTTCCCGGTTTTTGGCGTTTTTGAAATGTGACGGAGAAATAACCATATATGTAGAATTCTTGTTCAATTTAGAGGGGTCTTGAAATTACATGACCCCCTCTGATTAAAGTCTCTCTACTCTAGAGAGTAGTAGAAGACGTAGTTTAAAAATGAATTTCTCCCCGAGACGTTCATAGGTTTGGAACAACAGCCAAAACTGCTGATTTTAGGGTTTGGGGAGGCCTTTAGGATATAACTGAAAATACAAACACTACGAGCATATTTTAACAATTGCGTTTAGATTACATACATAGTACAGCTTCGTGTACGTTACCGTCAGTCGTCAGAATATAATTGCCAGCAAAATCACAGAGTAAACTCACTCGTCTGCGTAGAGGGGTCACTATGATGACACCTCTATTATCCTCTCATTGCGGCTCTATTAAACACATCCGTAGGAAGTGCACGCCGCTGGTTAAACCTAGTCTAACTGCAAGTTCTCTATGCAAGTTCAAGTCGTACGTACCATCGTATAGCCAAATAAAATATATAGCCCGCCACATCGGACCTAATAAGAAGAGTTTCTCCAATATGATGTCTTTTAGACCTCACACTGCCACTGACATACATCCACAAGTAGCTCATACAAAAACATTCAATACAAGATAACCTCAACACATGCACTTACGGCTAGGATGCCATCAACAGCTTTCAAACGGCGATTGGCCAATTCTTCCTATCCCTTATGACCACAAAGCACACAAGGTACACACAAAATGGGAACTATTGTTCCTACTTGTACAGTAAAGGTTTTGAGGAGACATGTGGGACAGATTGCCACACCCCGGCCACCGCAGTCACCTCTGGTGTCCAGTGCCAAAGCCGGTACGGCGCCACGAACATTCTGGGATACAGTCAATCCCATTAAATCTGCTACGTATGTGTACTTGTTAATTACATTCAATACTGTTGGGCCCATTGGGCTGCTAATTAGAATTTGTGGGAAACATTTTCGATTCTTATTTTCTTATAGTTTCCGCCGAATATTTGTACGTAGGAAGTTTAGGTGATGTTGTCTATCAAAAAACACACACACACGTATACACACACAAACACACACACATACATACATACACTCACACACATACACACACACATATATATACATATATATTTACGGATATATATA